TCCGTTATATCTTCTAAAGAATATGTTTCGTACTGCACGGCTGGATTGTTAATCAGGACATCGATGCGCCCATATTTCGCAATGACCTCATCAACAACGTTTTGACAATTCTTGTTGTATCCGAGATCGGTTGATATTGCAGTTGGATCACTTGACTCGCTCGTTTTTGCCTCTTTGATGATCTTCAAGGTGTCAGTGGCATCTATGTCCTCATCACCCTTGACATACGTGAAGGCTATAGTTGCACCCTCTTTAGCAAAGGCGTAGCAAACGGCCCTTCCGATACCTGAATCTCCTCCGGTCACTAAAGCCACCTTTCCCTACCAGCAAAAGAAAAAAAAACTTGAAGGACTTTTTGTAGATAGAAAGAGTTTGACACACTACAACACAATTGGGTTTCTAAAAAACTTGTTAAATAAATTTATTGTAACATTTTTACATATGAGACACAAGTGTTTGGTCCTATAAAATTAAATACTTTAAAAACAACTTATTAAGACATTTTTAACCGAATGTCTAAATGTCTTAAAACAACTCTATAAACTCGATTTTATTATAAATGACATATGTCACTACAATGAAATGGAAGTAGTAAAACACAAAGGTGTTTAAATGTCCTAAAAGATTACTTTTATAGGACTTAGAGTTTATAGTAATATACGTGTTAATGTCATATCTTAAAGTGTTGTAATATGTCTAAATGACAGTTATCAAGCTTTTAAACACGCTTTTGAAACAAAGTGCCTTATTATAACCATTTCATAAGACACTTTTTCAAATATCATATAAAGAGGCAAATAGGACACTTCATATTCTTAAAAAAATGTTAAGATATAATAAAAAAAACGTCGTATAAACTTATTACAACACTCTTAGCTAGGTACGCAAGAGTGTATGATTCTACAAACTTAAGTCCTATAAAATAGTCTATTAGCAGACTCAGACATTTTTAGTGTCTCATTTATAGTGTGTTGATTTCAAAAACTTAATACAATACGTGAATTAAGCATACATACACGAAGTTTGTCAGATGGGTTGTAATTTGGGTTACTGAATTGAGGAAGAGGGTTCATGAGATACTCTTTTCCTGGTTGCGTTTCTTGATGTTGTGGTGGAAATCGTGGTTCACTCTGATCTTCCTTCCCAATTGCCTTCACCTAATATATATATATATATATATATATATAGTCACCATGAAATTGTATTTGTGATCTCGTATACAATTATTTCGATAAAATTAACAAAAACATTGTATAAGTATAAGAAGACCTTGAGGGTGGGAAAAGCAGAGCAACGACGCCTTTCAACAAGAGAGCCGACATTCATCACCACACCGTAACCACTAATTCTCGATGTACCACGTGTAGCCAACAACCTTCGTGACAACGTGCATGACTTATCAGTGATCGGAATCCCACTAATGCCAGTGGCAATCGAGTACAACATGACTTACGATGAATGAATGAAACACTGATCCGTTGTGGTGGAAATGGAAAAGAAGTAGAATGGACCGAAAATATATGTGCACCGTACTTCTTATTATAAGACGGTGACTATCGAACAAAACATGCACCTCGGGACCGAATTTTTTGTCTCTTTTTCTTTCTCACCAATCACGTCAAATCACCTCATTATTTATTTAATTGGTCTTTTTATTTTTTTTCTTTTCCCAAAATGAATAAATGATGTTGGGTTCATGTCATTAGGTGAATTTGATTTATATGCGTTTCATGAAAAACAATACCCAAAAGTTAGTTAATTTACTAAAAATGTGTATGTGTGTGTTTTATTCAAAATCAAATACTTTAATTAGTGGGTTAAAAGATAAAAAGAGCGAGACAAGAAAATGCGCAAATTGTTAGAGAAAAAACCGTATCGAATAACAACAAGAGCCATGTTAATACTACTATAATGTATGCTGAAAATATATAGAGACAGGGTCGGGAAATCTCCGAATTTGAAACAAGAGAGATAAATGCTAATTTTAACTTTTCCCATCATTAAGATGCATTTAAATTAAATGTTTAGGAGCGATAAATAATATCTATATCGAATACATTGAATTTTTAATAATACAATTAGAGTTGGGTGTAAATTTATTAGATATTTTTTTGTTACTTTTGATATTGTATTTTCACTACCAAACAAGACATTTTTTCCGGCGGCAATATCCGCCGGAAATCCTCTGGAAACAGTGATTTCCGGCGGATATTGTCGCCGGAAAAAGTGGCGCCGGTGATTGTTTTTTCGGCAGAAAAAGCGGCGGATTTTATCATTTTATGGCGGATCCCGGCCGCCGGAAATTTCTCACCGGTTTATTTATAAAATCTTGATTAAATTAACAAAATGGTTAAGTATTTAAAAAAAATTTAATTTACCGGCGGAATATTCCGCCGGAAACATTTCTCGACAGAAAAAATATAAATCTTTTTTAAAAGAATATATCTTTAATTTTAAAAAATTACCGGCGGATATGTCCGCCAAAAATCCGTTGGAAATGATATATAATATTAATTCTAAATTTATTTTTAAAAAAATATTTTTATATTAAAAACATTACCCGCGGACAAATCGGCCGGAAAAAATATATAAATATTAATATTTTAAATTTATTTTAAAATTAATATTTAAAACCTGTATTTAAAATCTGTAAATGTGTACAATATTAAAAATGAAACTAAAAAGGCGAAATAGAACTAAATATCATACATTAAAGTGAAACTACAATTATTTCAACCAAACAAAAACTAAATTGTTATAAACAAAACTAAATTGTTTCAAACCAAAATAAATTATTCAATATGGTGGTGGCGGGGGGGAATTTTTGAGATTGACTGAGCTGTCTAACCAAAGCAGACATATCTTGAAGTTGTTTATCTTGTTGCTCCTCCTTCTGTCGTCGTCGCTCATCCTCCAATCGACGTCGCTCCTCCTCCACTCGCTGTCGTTCCTGTAAGTCTCTAAGTTGGGTCTTTAAGGTTTGAATTTCCTATAAAATAAATAAAAACGTTATAATATTTAATATGAATTATAAACTAAATCGATAAACATCATCAAAGCAAAAGATGCACATACCCGACCCTCTGAAGATGAACCACCTTCTGTGTAGTTCCCAGTCAAGACCCAATTGGGATCTTGGTTGTACCCAAACCCAAATAAACAGCATTTCTTGCTTCCCCCAACCACTTGTTCCCACAACTCTTTATCAACTAAGGGATAGGTGGAGGGATCATCGCCGTATCTTTGGCTGAGACCAGTTGAATATTCATCCTATATATGGTTTAAAAAATATTGCAAGTCAATTTTGACAGCATAATGGCTGTAAATGGGACGTTTTCAAAACAATCCTAAAGTTTGCCCAATAAATGGCAACCCAAACTAAATAATGGCATATACGTAATTTCTAACTTAAACAATCATAACGTTTGCCCAACAAATGGCAACCCAAACTAAATAATGATATATATATATATATATATATATATATATATATATACATAACTTCTAACTTAAACAATCCTAACGTTTCCCAACAAATGACAACCCAAACTAAATAATGATATATACTTAAAATCTAACTTAAACAATCATAATGTTTGCCCAACAAATGACAACTCAAACTAAATAATGATATATATATATATATATATACACACACGTAATTTCTAACTTAACAAATTATAATGTTTGTCCAGCAAATGGCAACCCAATTATAATGGATAGATATACTTAACATGACTTGGCTACATTTTGTGGTCACGTTCCCCCCCCCCCGAATCCGTAGATGCGGCATCTCCACTCGACCTCTTCTTGTGTGTGTAATCGAACAATTCCACAACGGTCGGGGGCACGCCATCTTTTGCTCGTGCCTACAAAGGTCAAATAATACAAACATGTGTTAATTATAACATAATAAAAATCAAGCTACTAAATTAATGGGTTTTAGGTTCTAGCAGATGAGCACCATGCTCTGAAAATGGTATCGATCCACCGGTGTGTAGCGCAACTTGGCTATCACGGTTCTCACGCGCCACACCAGAAATAGCCTTCCAATTATCACTGTTCCAACGATTGACCATCTAGACCCACACATCTGAAGATATCTAGCTGGGGGGAAATGCTTCAACACACTCATATCCCGGTTGGGGTCCGTTTCATCGTACTGAGGATACCCATTCATCCTTTTTTTTCCCCAGCTTTCTTCCTCGCGGCACTCGTGTTATCATTATACGGCTTGGCCGACTTTCTCTCCCATCTCTCTAGGATTTGGGCGTTCAAAGCCGGATCCCAAGTATAATAGCCCTGTACATAAAAGTTTAGGCAATTTTTAGGTTCAAAACAATACATTAGTATTTGTTGATGTTATGTTATATATTCTAATAGTCGAAAAAGAATGTAGAATTAGTCTTCTTGTATTAATCTGGAAGAAAAATAACAACTGAAAAAGAACATATTGAAGTTTGTTGATGTTATGTTATATATTTTTTTTAATACATAAAATTCAATTATCGAATCGTTGTAATCATCAAAACTCTATAACTGCTGTCAAGAACAAATCCTCAATTCCATTGAAAAGACTTAAGAAAAATATAGAAGAAAAAAATAAAAAAATAAACTCTAAAATCCCAACAAAAGTTAAGAATAATACTTAAATTAGTATTCTCATAGTAAACCTGAAAAATGATCTTATTGAATAATAGAAGTTTATAAAAATGAAAGAACAAATCAATTGATGGACAGAGAAAATAAAAGATTACCTGAAAAAGTAGATTGTTGAAGAAAAAGGGTTTGAAAAATGAATAATACATGAAGGGATAGAGGGGAAGAATAATATATAAATTAGTACTATGATAGTAAACCAAGGACACTACGACTCTAATATTTTGTGCTAGAAACAACTTGGTTTGAAACCACCAAAATTGTTTTAACATTGTTACTAGTACTCATTTAACAAAACCTATATTCAATTTACTGAAATCATAACACCAAAATAACGTCAAAAATATAACCAAAAAATTGTTTATATTATCAACGGTAGATGTACCGAATGTCTCCACTGTGAAAGGACGAAGCAAAAGAATTTGTTTGCCGGACTTGTATCTCCCTGGTTCACGGCAGGATGACCTGCTAGAACCGACCCATCCGGCCACTAGAAAAAGGGGCATTGGACATTCCAAACCGGTTTCGTTAAAATTAACCAATGGACGATTTTGACAATGCAAAAATAAATTTGGACATGCATGTTAGAGGCACGCGTTAATATTCATAGTGACCTCATCAAATGCTAGGAATGATTGCTTTAGTTTCCTAAATCCTATATCTATAATCAATGTGCGTGGGCGATTCTTCCATTGACTCTAAACTCCAAGGAAGTTGTTACGTTTGAAAGATATATTGTTATGTATTTTCAATTGTTTCACATAATTTTTAATCTTATATATATATATATATATATATATATATATATATAAGTTGCTATGTTAATCTCGTTAAACAAAAAAAATTAGGTTAGCATTGGTCGGGACTGATCCAAACCCACAAATAATCACCTTATCTACGATTCATATATATGAGACTCGTGAACTATTAATTAAAAAAAATTATGTGTTTGGTTTTTATATTTTTTTAAGCGAAAAGAATTTCCCTTCCTTTTACAATTGTTGGAGACATTTGACGAATCTACATAGCCGAAAGTAGGTTATGAAAATATAAAGAGACAAATTTGGTCTACCATTTGCTAATTTTGATTTATATGTGGTGTAGTCTTGTTATTGGTTAACATCAG